GAAATGGTTATCGATTATTTGTAAAATATAATTTCATATGAAATAATAATCTACGAGGTGCCTTTAAATTCTGTACGCCTTTTAGTTGTTTTTTTAATTTTATCTATCCATCTATATTAATGTAATTTATTATATTTTAAAAGTATTTTTAAGAACAGATAAGAATGACAATTAAATTGCACAGTAGCGTGTTTGCTATGATTGAAAGAGTTTATGGTAATTCAACTAGCAATTCGCTTATATTATTATCGTAACATCATAATCATTAACAAAATAAGGAATATTTATTTATTATTAATTTATTTTACGGGCTCTTGAGAAGACTCAAGGCATCTTTCCTGACTTGATTATGGTAATCAGTTAGTGTCTGTTGTATTCCGCCGTGTTTATCTGCTGAAAAATTAATTTAAGGGTTTTGCGTATAAAGTTTTTGTGTATTAGTTTAAATTAATGTAATTTAATTTAACTTTTGTTACATCCTTATGGGCAATTATGCCTAAAATAAACAATAAATAAATAAATAATATTAGCACTAACACAATGAAATCATAATAATTACCGAAAATCGAATAATATAGCTATAAAATAATGGCTGTGTTTGGCAGAAAATAGCGCTAGGAAGCGCTTACTAGCGCTGACACAGTTTTCGGCCAGGACACGTTTTCTTGTTAAGGATTAAGGGGATAATTAAAGATACAATGACATAAAACGTGTCTTTTATTAATATCTCTAAACAATAAAGGAGTGCGTATAACCTACAGAGCCTTGCTTGACAACCGAAGCAGTGTTGCCATTACAATCCAATATTATATTAAGTATGTTCACTAAATCATTGTTAATTAACACCTCCCCCCAATGATTTATATTAACAGAACTAACATTACACTAATTTCTAACATTACAATGAATAAGTAAGAACTAACATTACAATGGCTTGTATTAACAGAACTAACAAACTAAAAATACACAATGCGAACTAAACTTTATTCCAATCCTAATTTATGTACAAAATAATTATGAGAGGTTCTGTTTAATGGTTTCGTAAAAATATCGGCTATTTGTTGCTTTGTAGGTATATACATAACACAAATTTCCTTACATTCTATTTTATGTTTAATAAAGTTGTATTTTACGTCCACATGCTTCATCCTTTTTTGATCAGGATTACATACAGAAAACATTGTACTTTTATTGTCTTCATATATGGTAGTGGTATTACAACTAACGTCTAACTCATTTAATAATTTCCTAATCCAACAAGCCTCCAGAGCGGCTTCATTGAGGGAGTATAACTCTGCCTCAGTAGTGCTTAAAGCTACAGTGCTCTGCTTTTTGCAACGGCAAATAACACTGTAGTCAAACACTTTAAATACATAACCAGTTATAGATTTCCTATCTTTACCTACTGCAAAACTAGCATCAGCATATCCAACTAGTGGTTCGGAATTACAATTCTTATAATATTTTAAATTATAATTAATGGTACCCTGAATGTATCTTAAAATCCTTTTCAAGCATTGCCATAACCTTTCTGATGGTCTAGATTGATACCTTGCTAAATATGAAACAGCAGCACACAAATCAGGTCTTGAACCTACTACAGCATACATTAAAGAACCTATACAAGCTCTGCATTTATGCTCTAAAGAGTAATCAACCGTACAACCATCAAGATTAACATTAACTTCCATGGGTGATTCACTAGGATTTGCTTCAGACATACCAAAATTTGTCAATATAGATTCTAAATACTCTTTCTGGTTAATATACAAACAGTCACTATCCTGAATAATATTAATACCCAAATATTTTAAATTTTTAGATCCTAGATCTTTCATTTTAAATTCTGTATTTAAAGTTTCTTTAAAATTATTTATCCTTGAATTATCCTCACCTATAATTAATAAATCATCCACATATAACAAAATGTAAATACCATCCCTTAAATATAAACAATAATCACTTTCTGCCCTTTGAAACCCTTTATTTTTCATAAAATTGTAGTAACTTTAGGGCGCAGACAGAATGATACACGTTCGTAAAGTTGAGAGCGTTTAATTCGGAAATAACAAGCGTACGTTCCGCGTCAATGTCAGTTTGTTACTGTCGCTCTCGACCGAGCGTTAGCGATCCGAGGACGGCTGGCCTGCGCCTGCGCATCGTGCGTCACAGCGGGCGCGCGGGGCGCGTTGACTACTGCGGTGGCAAACAAGGGTCGTTCGATCTTCCCGCTACAGTACTCCCCCGCTGAGACCGCTACTGCGGGCGGTAATAGTCCGGGAAGTGGACACGTCTTCCGCTCCTAGTCGTCTTCTCCTTGTGACCAGAGACATCTGGTGTTGATGTTGATAGTGTTGTTTCTTGGGTTATATATGCAGGTTTCAGGCGATCTATACTAACAGTGACGTCCTTGCCATGCACGTCGATCTTGTAGTATTTAGCATTTCGTTCTACCACCCTATAAGGTCCAGCGTACGGTGGTTCCAATGGCCTTCGGACAAAATCCTGACGTAGAAATACGTGTGACGAATCACGAAGGTTGTGAGGAATGTAGAAGGGACCTTTCCTGTGCCAAGACGCAGGTTTCGGTGTGAGTTGTGCCATGTGACTGCGTAAACGTGTTGAAAAATTCGTGAAGTCTTCTGCCTTGTGGTCGTCGTTTGGAGCTATAAACTGGCCTGGTAAACGCAGTGGCTCACCGTACACTAGCTCTGCTGGGGACGCCTGGAGGTCTGGCTTCCATGCACTGCGTATACCCAGCAGTACTAAAGGAAGAACCTCTGTCCATTGTGGCGTAGCGTGGCACATAATGGCAGTCTTCAATTGTCTGTGCAAACGTTCAACCATTCCGTTTGCGGCTGGGTGATAGGCGGTCGTACGATAATGTTTCGCGCCAACCACAGCTGCGATAGACCGAAATAGTTGGGACTCGAACTGACGACCCCGGTCGGAGGTTATCTTGAGTGGACAACCAAACCGCGCCATCCAGCCGGATACTAGGGCTGCTGTACACGTCTCCGCAGTGATGTCTCTGATAGGGTAAGCTTCGGGCCATCGTGTGTACCTGTCCACAACTGTAAGGCAGTACCTGTAATCAGAAGAACTTGGCATTGGGCCGATTAAATCGAGGTGGATGTGGGAAAACCTCGATGAAGGTGTAGGGAATGAGGATAGAGGAGCAGAAGTATGACGGGTGATTTTACAGCCTTGACATTTAAGGCATTCTCGAGACCACGCTCTACAGTTTTGGCGTATCCCTGGCCAAACAAATCTTTGTGAGACCAATCGCACCGTAGCGGTGTGGCCTGGATGACTCAGGTTGTGTAGCGTGTTAAAAACTTGTCGTCGAAATTCGGGTGTAATGTAAGGTCGAGGAGGCTGCGTTGAAGTATCACAGTACACATCAATCTTCGTATTTGGCATTCTGACCTTCTCTAATTTAAGTGAGGATCCTTTCAAAATTAGATCTTGCAGCTCAGGATCAGTAGTCTGAGAACGTGCAAGCTCTTTGTAGTCAATTCCATGTGTGATTTCTTCGATTCTTGATAGAGTGTCTGCGACAACGTTCTGATTGCCAGGTATGTATCTTATGTCGGTGGTAAATTGAGATATATATTCTAAATGTCTGAATTGTCTGGGTGAAGTTTTTTCCTTTGACAGTTTGAAAGCATGAGTTAAGGGTTTATGGTCAGTGAAGATGAAGAAGTGACGAGCCTCGACCATAAATCTAAAATATTTCACTGCTTCGTACATTGCTAGCAGCTCCCTGTCGTATGGGCTATAGTTCGTTTGTGCAGCACTTAGTTTTTTGGAGAAAAATCCTAGTGGTTCCCATATGTTACCAACTCGCTGCTGCAATACAGCGCCCATAGCTACATTGGAGGCATCCGTAACGATACTCAGCTCCGTGTCAGGACGAGGGTGTGCTAATAGTGTAGAACTTGCTAGTGATTTCTTACACTCCTCGAAAGCATGCGTAATTTCTTGTGTCACCTGTATTGGGTGTGAACCTTTTACATTAGCACCAACCAGAAGTGCGTTTAACGGGGCTTGTATGTCCGCTGCATTCGGTATAAATCGGCGGTAAAAATTAAGCATACCTAAGAACCTTCTCAGTTCTTTCACCGTCCTGGGCCTTGGATAATCTACAATGGCCTGGACTTTTGACTCCAAGGGCTTGGTGCCAGCTGCAGATACTTTATAGCCTAGAAATACAACCTCAGACTTCCCTAACACACATTTGTCAGAGTTAATAAGAAGGCCATACCTCTCTAAACGGGTAAAAACTTGGCGGAGATGGTCCTTGTGGTTTTCCTTCGAGGATGAAAATAGGATGATGTCATCACAGTACCCGTATGCAAAATCCTCCAGCCCATGCAAGACTTCGTCCACAAAACGTTGAAAAGTCTGTGCTGCGTTGCGTAGTCCAAACGTCATGACTCGAAATTCATACAGCCCGAACGGAGTGGTGATTGCTGTCTTCTCCACGTCATCAGGATGTACTGGAAGTTGATTATAAGCTTTTATTAAATCTATCGTGGAGAATATGGTACAACCTGACAATTGATGTGCGAAATCCTGGATGTGCCGTACGGGATATCGGTCTGGGATGGTTCTGGCGTTAAGCGCTCTATAATCACCACATGGTCTCCACCCATCGTCTTTCTTCTTCACCAGGTGTAGCGGCGAGGACCATGGGCTATCTGAACGCCTAGCTGTTCCATTTAACAACATCTGGTCAAACTCTTTTTTCGCAGCTTTCTGTCGCGCGGGATCTAGTCGGCGCGGTCGACAGGCAACAGGAGGGCCTGGAGTAGTCTTTATGTGATGGACTGTGTTATGCTGAACCGATTTCAGTATTCCTGCTGGACGTGTAATATCTGGGAACTCGCGAAGGATATCATGGTATACCGACTCACCCAAGACTGTCTTAATAGAAACTACCTCTTCTGAAATCTTCTGGCGTGGTACGTCGATGAATAGTGATGTTTTCCCATCGATCAATCTCTGGTTTCTGCAATCCACAAGAAGATTATAAAAACTAAGGAAGTCTATCCCCACTATTGGTTTAGACACGTCTGCTATTGTGAACTGCCAACTGAAGTCACGCCTTAGTCCAAAGTCCAAATGGAGAGTTATGGGCCCGTAAGTATCTATTCTACTACCATTGGCAGCTGTTAAGCTATACTTTGTTTTAATACAGGGCGTCTTAATTGCAAGCCGTGGGAAAACACACAAGTCTGAGCCAGTGTCTATTAAAAACTGCATTTTCGAAGCACGGTCTATTACAAATAAACGGCCTGATGAAGTGAGGCAGTCGTTGGCCGCTACTTCCGGCTGCCTGTGGCGTTTCCCGCATTATACTGGCAGTGCTCTTTACATTTCTTAGCCTTAGGGCCAAAATTATAATGATACCAACAGTGTGGGTGGTCCGGTGGTGGCTGGCGATTACGCGACGCGCTGCGGTAGCGGCTGTCGCTCCTTCGAGACCTCGATCGTGAACGGGAACGCTCCTGCCTGTGTACATATGAGGTAAGTTTAGAAACTTGTTTGGTTAAGGCACTAATCTCTTGGCTGAGCTCTTCATAGCGTGAAACTGATGGCTGAGGCCCTGCAGGCGATTTGCTTGCCATGGCTACGTGATGAACAGGTGATGCAGGGGCTATCTCGTGCACGCGATCCGCTAAGTCGGCGAGATCGTCAAGCGTCAGCTTAGGCTGCGAAGCTACAACTGTTTGCAAGCTATGTGGTAAGCGACCAGTCCACAACGACTGCAACACGTCGTCAGGCACAGTGGGACCGGCGAGATTTCTTAGGTGTCGTAGAAATTGTGATGGCTTACGGTCACCAATATCCTCATGCAAGAATAGCTGCTTTAATTTTTTTTCTTTAGACGCGCTTAATCGCTTAACTAGTTCAGATTTTAATTTTTCAAACTTACCCGCCGCCGGGGGTGCACACAAAATATCTTTAATTTGTGCTACATACGTGTGATCCAACTGCGAAACTGCGTAGTAGAATTTTGTAGAATCACTGGTCACGTTGGATAATATGAACTGGCCTTCTAGTTGGGCAAACCACAGCTCCGGGTCATCTGGGTAAAACGGAGGTATACGTACCCCCACACGACATATGTTACCCATATCTCCTTCAGTTGCTACGGCCTTTGCTTCTCCTCCACTTCCACCAGGCATCTTGAGTCTTGGTGTTCGTATCGGGGTCACCACTGTAGTAACTTTAGGGCGCAGACAGAATGATACACGTTCGTAAAGTTGAGAGCGTTTAATTCGGAAATAACAAGCGTACGTTCCGCGTCAATGTCAGTTTGTTACTGTCGCTCTCGACCGAGCGTTAGCGATCCGAGGACGGCTGGCCTGCGCCTGCGCATCGTGCGTCACAGCGGGCGCGCGGGGCGCGTTGACTACTGCGGTGGCAAACAAGGGTCGTTCGATCTTCCCGCTACAAAATCATAAAATTTATTGTACCAATTTTTTGAAGATTTTTTAAGACCGTAAAGTGATTTTTTTAATTTCAAGACATAATTTTTATTTATATTTACACCAGGTGGGGGCTTTAAGTATACAATATCATCAATTTCACCATGAATGAAAGCACCTTTAACATCCATTGGATGAATTAAATAATTCCTTTGAACAGCAACTGATAAAAGAACTCTGAGAGTTTGCAATTTCAAAACTGGAGAATAAATGTCGGTAAAACTACCTTCCTGTTGAAACTCCCTTGCAACTAATCTAGATTTATATACATCACCCGCCTTTTTTGTAAAAATCCATCTACAATCAATTACCTTAGCATCTTTTGATTTTTTTACAACTTTCCAAGTCTTATTATCCTCTAAAGATTTAATTTCTTCATTTACCGCTTCATACCACCTATTTTTATCGTCATAAGAATCTATATCATCATACTTTTCCGGGACATTACCATTAGAACAAGATAAAAATGATGCCATTAATATACCATCCAAATCAGAATCATCAGTGACAAATTCTTGTAAATATTTTGGTTTAGTTTTCTTTCTTTTTTCCCTAGAATTAACATCATCTGTATCCCTTCCCTCAGGTTTAAATGACTCTAAATAATTATCAGAAGTTAAAGGGGTATTGGTTTTCTCAGGACTACTACTAATATCTTTTTCTTTCTTATCCGAGACAGATTCTACATCAATACTAATAGTTTTAGGGGACTCTGAACATGTTTCTTCCCTAAACAATACATTTCGTTCTATGTGTATCCTCCTTTCATTAGCATCCCATAATCTGTATCCCCCAGGAGCATACCCAACCATTTTCAATTTCACACCACGAGGATCTAACTTCATTCGGAGTTTTTGGGGAATATGGGCATACGCAGATGACCCAAATATTCTAAAATTAGAAACATTAGGACTTCTTCCCTCCCACATTTCAAATGGTGTAGCATTGAGCGAAGCAATGGGACTACGATTAGTGACATATACCGCATATCGCAGGGCCTCGCCCCACAGCTCTTTAGGAAGCTGTGAATCTAACAATAATACACGAGCTTTTTCAGTCAGAGTACGATTCATTCTTTCAGCTACTCCGTTCATCTCGGGATTATATGCAGCAGTATACTGCAATACTATGCCCTTATCATCACAAAAAGATTTAAAATTTCTAGAAATATACTCACCACCATTATCTGACTTTAACTTCAATATACCATGACCAAAATGATTACAAACATAATTATAATAAGTCTTAAAATATTTAAAAACTTCAGACTTGTCTCTTAATAAGTAAACTGCGGTGAAGTGGGTAAAATCGTCTATGAAAGTAACAAAATGTTTATACCCGTCCCACGTAGAAGGGCTAACAGAACAAACGTCGGTATGTACTAGTTCTAAGGGTTTCCGAGCCTTATACATTTTCCCATTAAAAGGAAGGCGTGTAATCTTAGCAAGAATGCATGGTTCACAATGTCTATTTTCTAATTTTTTTTCTTTCAAATCAGTTAAACCATCAACCATATTTTTATTTACTAAAGTTTTCAAACTACTATATCTTAAATGAGAAAATCGTTTGTGCCAAATTTCTACTGAATTATCACTGGTGTCTGATTTTGCACCGTAATAACAATCATTAAATATTACTTTAAATTCTATAAAATAAAGGGACCCTAGTCTATGCCCAACCATAAGCAATTCATTGGTTTGTGAGAAAACTTTAACTTCCCCTTTATTAAAGATGATCTTTAAACCATGCTTTTCCATTTTGGAAACAGATAATATTTTTTTTCTTAATTGTGGTACATAATACACATCATTTAATATAATATCAACTTTAAAATCACTTAAATAACCTTTTATTGTCCCTATACCAACAGCCTCTAAATCAATGCCATTTTTGGCAGCTGAAATTTTAATTGGCTTATCCAGTTTACAATAATTAAAGAATAAACTAATGTCATTTACAAGATGAAATGAACTACCTGAGTCAACAATCCATTTAAAACTATTTTTATTCTGCTGTTCCGTGTCAGGGCTAAAGGATACAAAACTTACAAATTTGTTACCTTCAGTATTTTCAGTGCCTGTAAGAAATGACTTTCCTCTACCTCTCCCTTGGGTCTGGTAATGAGTTGCCTTACTGTCGTCTCGGCCTCCGTTGTATTTTCAGTCGCTACGTCCACTGCCGTGAAGTCTCCAGTCACCAGCCTTGTGCGGTGCCTGCTGAGTGCTCCTACACTGGATTTTTTTGTGTCCAGGGCGTCCACATCTATAACACAAGAAGATTGAAGAGTTAAGGGATTTGGTAGCTCCTCTGTTGCGTTTTTCCTGTTCCCCAAGCAGTCTGTTTTTCATGAAGTCCATTTTCAATTCCTCCACAGTTTCCAAAGCCGTGATAATGCCTTCATAAGATTTCGGCATGGATAGGAGTATGTAGTTAACCTTCTCTTCCTCCGAGAGCTCACTGCCAGCATCCCCGAGTTGTGCAAATAGCTTTTCCATGTCAATAAAATATTCCATTAAAGGTTTCCGTTCGTCGAATTTCATATTGGACAACTCTCTTCTTATAAATAATTTAGATCTTGTACCTTTCTTCTTAAAACTGTCTTCCATGCTTTTAATCATTTGATAAGCAGATCTGTCCTTTAAGTATTCGAGGTGACTGTCGGCGGTTGCCGCTATTATGACAGCCTGGGCCTTAGCTTCCAATTGCTTCTTATCCGCGGATTTACTAAAGTCCTCCTTTTCGATCGCCTTTATTACTCCATTATCCCGCAGGATACTTTTCAATCGGAATTCCCACGCGTTGTAATTGTCCCCCGCGAAAGGGACAATTTGATATTTTTCTTTTGACATTTTCTGTCCTTTAACACTTAATCCTGTCCTCCTGGGCCCATAACCCTGTTAAGGATTAAGGGGATAATTAAAGATACAATGACATAAAACGTGTCTTTTATTAATATCTCTAAACAATAAAGGAGTGCGTATAACCTACAGAGCCTTGCTTGACAACCGAAGCAGTGTTGCCATTACAATCCAATATTATATTAAGTATGTTCAATAAATCATTGTTAATTAACATTTCTAACTTCAGTAGCGCTGACACAATCCGCCATTTTGCTTATTTATTTTGTTTGTTTTAAAAGTAGAATTTATAAGATGTTTTGTGCAAGTAATATTAAAATAAATAATAATGTCAGTCCGCTTTCCGCTTAGCGATCGCCATTTTGCTTACAAGCGCTTCCTAGCACTATTTTCTGCCAAACTCAGCCGACATCATAAATAATAATAATCGCTTCATAAATAATCGATTTTTTGAACGAAATTAGTAATTGGGAACACTTAATATTTTGCCAGAAACCAATAAAATACGGATTAACGTAATTTCACTTTTATCTTTTCGGTACTTTTATTTTCTGTTTAAATGTTGCAGACCTGTCAGGATAAATGAATACCCCAATTAATAAACAGAAAATAAGATGTTTTTTTCTAAAATAAACAAAAATTTTTAACAAAAAAAACCGACTTCAAAAGACACTATTCCAAAACAAATTAATATGCACTAAAAAGGAAAGAAATAAATGCATATTGTTCTACAACTTAATAATCAACTTACTTTTTCTACTTATCTATATGTAGGTACGATCTATGTGTTAACCGCGCAAGAAGGTAGGTAGGTACCTACCCATTTCAAATCTAATTTAACATATACCTGTGAATAACAAACAACGATCAAAATATTTATTTGAGTTCTCCTAAGTAAAATAAAATGAATATAATGTAGTTACAATTATTGTTATTTTTGCAGTCGGTGTCAGCCAAGTCGGTGTCACCTACACCTTATAAGTGAGAAGTGCTTGTGTCGCACGCGCGAGTTGACGAGTCTTAAAGTATTCTCGTATATTATTGGTAGGTATATCGTAGTGTTTCCTTGGCTGACACCGACTCCAAAAATAACAATAATTGTAACTACATTATATTCATTTTATTTTACTTAGGAGAACTCAAATAAATATTTTGATCGTTGTTTGTTATTCACAGGTATATGTTAAATTAGATTTGAAATGGGTAGGTACCTACCTACCTTCTTGCGCGGTTAACACATAGATCGTACCTACATATAGATGAGTAGAAAAAGTAAGTTGATTATTAAGTTGTAGAACAATATGCATTTATTTTTTTCCTTTTTAGTGCATATTAATTTGTTTTGGAATAGTGTTTTTTGAAGTCGGTTTTTTTTTGTTAAAATTTTTTGTTTATTTTTTGCTTTTTAGTGAATCTGAAGTACACTTACTAATTTGTCTGAATATGGGTAGACCTAATAAACGTGCTGCTCAAATGAGACAGCGCCGTTTGAATGAGACAAAGGGAGTCAGGAAGAAACGCCTATCTCAACAGAGGCAATCTACCCTGTGATGACGGATTAAGAATACAGAATGTCACCACCCCTTTTAATCACATGGGTGTCGTAAGAATCTAGTGAGGGAGCAAACTACGCAGGACAACAGCACTGCAAAGAGAAGGAAAACTTGAAATAAACCCTATACCAACGCGTCTGGCCAGCGTGGTATAGTAGGCCAAAACCTCTTTTCTAAGGAGAGGCCTATGTCCAGCAGTAGCTTAATAAAGGCTGTTGATGACGACAATTACTTGACCATAACGACGTTACTGTAGGTGACTCAAATATCCAGATAGCCCATAAAAGATTCAGCCGAGTATCGTTAATTTGCTCCTAAGAATTGAAGAGTTCCGTTACTTTGTCGTGAATCCCATCATCAGAATCTAACCAAACTCTCATCAAAGTACCCTTAAAGTACATCCATTCCAATAAAAAAAGAATTATCGAAATCGGTTTGCTTGAAATTGAGTTATTCGTCTATTTGTCGCGAACATACTAAATGCAAATTTAAGACTTATATGGTTTTCTCATGGATGCCATTATCAGAACTAAACCAAATTAAAATGGGACCACACGGGAAGCACCAGCTTTCAAATAAAAAAAGAACCATAAAAATCGGTTCATCTAGTCAAAAGTTCTGAGCTAACAAACATAAAAAAAAAAAAAAAAATACAGTCGAATTGAGAACCTCCTCCTTTTTTTGAAGTCGGTTAAAAAGCAAATTGTTGTGCGTTTCATGGCCGAAAATGGGTATTCCCCTTTGCTGAAATCGTACCCCTTCATAAATCGGGTTGCAAGGACAACGTGAATAACTATCGACCAATTTCGATCATTTCCACGATGGCAAAGGTGTTTGAATCTTTTGTTTGTCCTTGCATCCAAAACTATTTTAGTCCATACCTATCCAAACATCAACACGGATTTGTCAAGGCAAGATCTACTTCGACGAACTTGGTTATGTTTGTTGAATGCCTAGCTGAGGCAATGACCATCACCAGCAGGTAGATGTTATTTATACAGACTTCAGCAGGGCGTTCGATAACGTACCTCACACTATACTAATGAGGAAGCTATCTGTGTATGGATTTACTGGCAATCTTCGTGAATGGATTCATTCTTATCTCATTAATCGTTTTTCCTATGTAGTGGTGAATGGCTTTAGGTCAAAATCTTTTCCCACCTTTTCTGGTGTACCACAGGGATCGCATCTTGGACTCATCCTTTTTAACATTTTTATCAATGACCTACCTGGCTGCCTCTTGCACTCTGAACCATAGATGTACGCTGATGATCTAAAAATCTCACGAACTATAAATATTATTCACGACGTAGCTCTTTTACAACAGGACGTAGAACACATAAGCCAGTGGTGTAGCAACAACCGGATGCACCTCAATACTGGCAAATGTTACCACATTAAGTTCAGCCGCAAGCTGAAGCTTGTTGACTCTGAGTATTTTATAGAAGGTACACCAATACAAGAAGTTGATACAATAAAGGGAATATTTTTTGATAGAAAGCTCACTTTTCAACCTCATTTGGACCATGTCATTATGAAAGCATCCAAAATGCTGGGGTTTGTCATGAGAAATGCTAGGGTGTTCCGAAGGCCTCAAACTAAGATACTCTTATTCAACACTTCGGTTCGTAGTATACTCAAATACTGCCCCACTACATACACACACACTTTTGCATTTACATTCAATATTGCACAAATTCAATTGACGTTTTTGAGATCAAATATCATAAATATCGCAGAGTTTTGTGTGAAAACTTACCCAATTAACCATCAACCTAATTAATGCATCCTAATGCTCTAAATATTTCTTGTTTTTTTTTTCTCATTAGATTTTTAACTTACAGCTTACATTTTATTATTTTAACTCGATTTGATGTATTGTAATATGTTGATACTTGGAATTTCTATTGAATTTATAAATAAACAACATAATTGTGAATATAATAACAATTATCATTGTAACTGAACTATATAATTACTTAATATTATGTAATTTTAGAGACGATTTTATTGTGCATGTTGTATTCATCTGTTACTAGTTATGCAATTAGTTTTAAGCGAATAAATTTGTGTCCCCTGTAATGAATTATTGTATAAAACTGTTGGTAAATTAAATAAATAAATAAACTCTAAAGACCTTTTGCCCCTCACTCCTGGGCACTTTTTAATTGGAAGACCTCTTACGTCTCTGCCAGTCAAGGATCTTCGCGATCAGTCGATTCACAGGCTGACACGCCACCACACATCGAGCAATTGCGGTAACACTTTTGGGCGAGGTGGAGCAAAGAATACGTCTCCGAGCTTCAATGGTGAGTAAAATGGCATACGTGCAAGGACTCGTTGCAAATTGGCTCCATTCGTCATTATAAAGACAATACCGTCACTACGAGTATATAGACGACAATTTGCCGCCACTCAAGTGGAAAATGGCGCGAATCGTTACTCTTCATTCAGGCAGTGACAACATAAGCAGAGTTGCTGACATCCGGACAGCGAATGGAGTGGTCAGGCGAACTGTATCGAAGATTTGCCGTTTACTATAATCTCCGTTTGAAAGGCAAGCTTTCAACGGTTGGGGGAATGTTGAGGCGTCTATACAATCGTGAGCGCCTACGTTATAGTTAAGAGCTATCTACATAGCTTCAAAATGGCATCGTGTAACATGGTTTTTCATGTGTGTATTAAGGTCCCGAAATTGTTGTCCGCTTACTATCACTTGAATTATACCAGCCTTGGTGAACGGTCAATTTGAGCTTTTATTTTATAAAAAATACGTTTTTAATAATTAAGTCCTCTCGATCCTGAACACTCACTTTAGTGCAAGCAAAATTCTACACAGGAAACAGTTTGGATTCAGAAGAGGTCGCTCGACAAATGATGCCGGTGTTGAACTTTTGGAAAATATATTTAGTACCTAGGAGGATAAACGGGATGCAATGGGTGGTTTTGTGATGTATCTAAGGCGTTCGATTGCGTTTTTCATGAAACATTAATCAGGAAATTGCATTACTATGGAATTAGGAACACTGCTTTGGATCTTCTTATCTCTTATTTGGGTAATAGGATCCAGAGAGTTTAAGTTGATGGACAGAGATCCCTGGGGTCTCTGGTCACTATGGGGGTTCCGCAGGGCTCAATTCTCTGCCAATTTTTATTCCTTGTTTACATAAATGACCTACCTAATGTGATAAAAGATAATCAGGAGATTACAGGTACTATTTGCGGATAACCCTTCACTTTTATTTAAAATTTTACAATCAGTAACTCATGACGTGAATAGCACTCTCTCTAAGGTTGTGAACTGGTTCAATGTTAATAATTTACTTTTAAACGAGAATAAAACGAAATGTATTTGCTTTTTTACACCTAATGTTACGCAGGTAAAGACCAATGTTCTAATAAATGGAAAGGAGTTGGATCTTGCGGACACCACCAAGT